AGGAAGAAAAGGCGACAAGGAGGAAAGGACAGCCCTGAATTCAGACAGTTTAGTATAAAATATACGGTATATGATCAGTCTGGCTATCCTCAAATGCAAATGTCTTCCAATTACCATCATAAGTATTTTCCATTTAGAAATCCAAGTATACTGCCTTAACTGTTGTTCTTTCTGCTACCAGATTCATGAGATCTGAGTGAGACCTCTTGTGATTAAAAACAAAGGAGATCAAACTGGTTAAGCAAATTCCTTACTGCTAAGAAGTAATGGAGCAATTCAGCCAGTTTGGATTTCAGCAAAGCAGGCTCTTTGCCCGCGTCCTCCTCACAGCACCCTCCCTTTTCAGTGTATGTTCTGTAACTTCAAAGCAGGACTGGAATGCTGCAGTCAGATACCTGAAGAGGATGTCTCAGCTGTGAAGCAGAGGAAAGCTACAAAGTACTCGTTAATACTCTTCAGTGATCTTCAGTACTTAAGCTTTAGAAGTAATAAACATTTCCTTTTGCCTAGCCAAGATCCTTGCTGTGCATTTGACGTGCTTCCTTCTAACAGAACTTGCTACTGTGATGTGCCAGTGTCAAAAATATGACTCATCTCTGAACAAACCTGAGCACAAAGGAAAGAAATGGGCAAATCAGGTCTTTTTGCAAGAGGCAGATGGAGTCTGACATGACCATGCAATGGCTCATAGGAATGGAACCCTTCTCAATGGGGTGAGACTTGAGCTTTGTACAACATGCAGAACGGCTTGCCCATTGGGCAAAGAGGTAAGAAAAGAAGGGCAGATTTTCTTCTAGACAGGGATGAAACATATAGATAAAAGGACATGTTTTCCCAGGGTATTGCAAGCAAACTGTCATCTTCTGGAGCTTCTTCTGCCACCTTCCTGCCTACATTGAGGATTGTTTCCCAGCAGTACATCCCACAACATCACAGCAGTGCAGTGCAATATGCAGCACATCATGCAACATTGCAAGCATCCACCATGCAAGGTTCCACTTTCCATTGAATGGGAAAGATTTGGAGGGAAAGGTAGCAGGAGAGAAAGAGGAGCCATTGGCTCATATCTATGCTGCTCTCTGTTCATGCAAAAACAAGGCAAAAAAAAAAAAGACAACTAATAGGCAAATGGGAAAGCAGCAAAAATATGATCGTCTTTTCTCTGTTGAACCATATGAGTAGCCCTCAGAGGAGCCTATATTCTCAGCAGGTAAGCTTTCCCTGAAATGCTTTAGAAGCCCCAAAAAAGGTCTGAATCCTGACAAACATTTCCGAGGCTAGAGACGTGCCAGGAAGTGCCAGCAGTCACTCTCAGCGGGTGAGTCAGCTGGGCTCTGCAGGGAGGCACATGCTTCAAACTGCAGCACAGCACGGAGATACCCAACCTACTTTTAAATAGGTTCATTTGGAAAATTAATTAATTAATAAAAAGCACTAAAACACAATATTCTGAAAATCAGCACATCTCAAGACAGAGACTGAGTTCTGGTGCCACAATTAGATTGCTCTAGATACGTGAAGCTCCAGATAGCATTTTTAGCAATCTCTAGTGTCTCTGCACTCTCTGGAGACCATGGTCTAGACTTATTTACAGAGATAATTTGAGACATTTAACATATTGTTATAGCATGTTTTGAATTCCTAGTTCAGGCACACTGCTGAGCATTTGGAAGTGTGAGAGGTTCACACAGTGTTCCCGGGATCCAAAATTAATGACAGCCTGAGACTATTTTCAAGAGCAGTAAAGACCAATATTGGATATTCTCAAGTGGCAGGAACTTTCGAACAGATGAAAACAATTGCAAACACTACACCATGAAGTCAGCTGCGGCGGCAAACGTGTTAAAAAAAAAAAAAAAAAAAAAACAAAATCTCATCTGGATTCCCCTATATCCACTTTGTTCTAATTGCCACTGAGGACCACTGAGGGTTGTGCCAACCTTAGGAATTGGAAAAAAAAAAAAAGGGATAATGCTGTTTTGCAACTGCAGCCCTTTTTAAGGTAGTGACATAGCTATCTCTCTCTCAGGACTAGTAGATCTCGTTCATAACTTCTAAAGACAACAGATCTCTGGGGTGGATTTTGTGCTACCTGCAGTGATTGTCCTGTGGCCCCCAGCTCTGCAGGCTGAAGCACTAGAAGAGATGCCTGAGGGAAACCCAGGCTACAGCAAACACCAGGAATGAGCCCAGATGCCAGTATGCTCTGGCCACAGGACAGGACCTAAAAGATGTAGCACAGTCTGAATAGGTTTGTAGAATGACCAAAAAGACTCATCTCAAAGCTTATTCCATGTTTGTAGTACTTCCTGATAAGCATTGGGATAAAAAAAAGCACTAAGCTTATGAGAAAACAAAAAGAGTACATCTCTAAAAACCATTAATTACCTTGTAAGACGTGCACACAACCCCTGGCAAAGTCTGTACTGTAAATCTTGCTCTGCACGCAACCCACTCATGAGAACATGCATTGTAACAGCCGCAAATACAGAACCCTTCCCTTTTCCCTTCAGCTATAGTAATTTTTACTTTTAGCTTAGGATGCCCTTGGTCCAGTGGCTGATGAGCTTTTGCCAGACAAGACAAAAGCCACCCCTCAGGGAACATGAGTAATCAGGAAGGAGCCGTCCTCCTCATGATTCCTCACTGACAACAGATCCCCGAAGGCAAAGTCTAAAGAATTGGAGTGTAATCGTGTTCAAAAGCTGCCTTCTCCCGGTACGTCCCACCCACTGACAAACAGGCTGTCAGGAGAACTGTACTGTTGTTCAGATATTTTGCAGTAAAAAACAGCAGCACGCTATCCCAGCTGAATAGGATGGGTGAAAAAACACGCCTAAAGTGAATGGCTGTTGCTGATGGAGTCATGTTTACAACCTGAGAGGAAGGACCAGCACCTCTTAAAACAAAAGGCAAAAGACTGAAAGATGCTAAAACTAAAGGTTTTTGCCATCAGAATATAGTCAAACATCTTCTGAAGCCAGACTATCTAGTACAGGAAGAAAAATAAATAAATAAAACTACATTAACTTTTTGCTGCACTCCCAAGAGCCTAGAGAACTAACATCTCTAACATCAAAAGACAGAACTGACCATCCAATCACTTCTTGAACAAGCTGAGTTGACATGGGACTTGTAGAAATACTACAGGAAGGAGAGCATCTACTGACATGAGCTTTCCAGTGTATTTAGCAGGAGCCTACAGTTTCGTATATAACATCACAGCCAATCTCTTGGACCGTTTCCTCTTTCTCTAACAGGTGACCAGAAGAAAATAAGTCAGAGACTCATCTGTTGTTACTAAGCAGCTGAATTGTCACTGTAATTCACTTCTTGAAATGTACAGCAGGAACGACGGATGAAATGCTGCTAGACCTTAAACATTAGGAGGTTCCTTTGTGGTACCTGAAAAGCAGTTGTGTAGCAGAAAGGTGTAACACTATCTGCTCCTTTATAGTAAAGACAGAAAAAAGTATTAAGCTTCAAGTATAGCAACAGAGATTCAAAAGCAGAAAAAAAGGGAACTTGTAATAGGAGGGATAATGAATAGAAATGAACAGATGAGAAAATATCTGGAGCAGCTGTGGATTTTCATCACTGGATGTGATAAAAGTGATGCAGAAGCGAACTCAGCCAAGGGTCAGCGAAGAATGACAATGTTATAATTATTACAGCTATTTTGCTGGAGGGTAAACTAAGGGATCACTTGAGGTGATTCCCAGTTGTCCAAATCTGTGATTGAATAATGAATCCAAACAGTAAACAGAAATCCCACATGTAAAATCTCTAAACACAAGTGCAAGGAATGACAGAGGTAGCTTTTTGCAAGCACTCAGAAATCTTCCAGTGGACATCAGTGTTGAGGAAAACATTTGTGTGCTCTAGGCTGGAATACATGCAGCAATGAAATGAACAATAAACCCTTATAGGAGGAGAGGCAGAAGTGAATAAAAACTCACCTCTCCTACAATAGAAATGAAAGGACATTGCCATCATCTATCCGGCTTGGCAGATACAATAATCTATAGCTCCTGGTACAAATTGCTGACAAAGTAAAGCAATGCTAGGATCTGTTTCAAAGAGCATTGCTAGAGTGAGGAAGTGTGATAGGAAATAGCATCCAGCTTGGGAAGCTACAAAACAGTGGGGGAAGAGTTCAAACATGTTTGCAGAGCAGCTGTCTATTTACACCCAGATACAAAAAAAAAAAAAAAACAGATCAAGTGACATGAGAACATTCCAAGTTGTTAAAAAAATAACCTTCTAAAAGCTCAAAATGAAGAAAGCTTCATCATGTAAATAATTCAGGCAAATAAGGCACTTATCATTACTTATGCATTCAGCTGATTATTAGCCAAGTAACACTGGCAGCAAGTGTGTGGACACTATGCCAATGTGATGGTAGCTATTTTAACCAACATAGCCAGAACTAAACTTACAGAGTGGCAGCTCAAGACAAGCAACCAGAGCTCCTCAGGGGTTATTGCAATGGATATGGCTTCTCTATGAATTAGCATACATTAGCATACTCACAGATACTAGTGAGTTATACAACTACTCCACACAGACAGTCTCCAATCCACAACTCCAAGACAAAAGGAAAGTTTGGAGAAGGGAAAAAAAAAGACCCAGGAGCAAAGGACTAAATTGGGGACATTTAGGATGTCACCAAGAGAGCTAGGAAGATCTGTATCATCACAACACACTAGTCCTTCCAAAAGGCTTTCTTGGTATCAGTGCATAAGGATAAATAACATGAACAGCTAGTAATGGTCTGTAAAATGAAAAGCGCCAACATACTGCATTCCTTCCCTCTCACGGGGTCAGGTAATCCAGAGCATTCCACTGATGGATTCGGGACAGCCACCCTCCATCTGGAGCCACTGCTGTCGCACTCTGTGTACTCGAAGTGGTAATCTGTCTGCAAACAATCACAAAGAGTTTCAGTTTCATCATAACATTTGCATATTAAGCTCATTAATCAAGACTGGGATTAGCAAGCTCGGTTATAATTAAACCAAAAAAGGGAGCGTTTGGCATGGAGCACACTGTGCTGCGCTCTCACTGCTCTGATGATCATCCTGCAGCGTGGCAGGGCAAGCACGGGGCATGTCGGGTGCAGCACAAATGCTGAGGTGCAGGGTGGGATTTCCACAAGCGCCTGAGAGAGCAGCACAACATCTAATAGAACTTTTCTCCCTCGCCTCTTCAGCAGGATTGAACCATGAATCATTCAGGTTCATTCAACTATTGATTTTATTAATATCATGGATTCAGCTCCTAGATACAGATCTAGACCTGCACCTAGTCACTTTTTTATATTCAGAAATTCTCATCTTTGGAACTGGTCAGGTATCAAGCAAGACTTAGGGTGAAGCTGGCAGTGCTGGTGTATGCCTTTCTTCAGAGGAAACAGACCTGCATTAAAATGATATATCCTGACAATTTCCACGAGGTATCTCCATGTGGGCTAGGCCACCTTCAACTGCCTACACAGCTGATGTTCCTCATACGCTTCCATGCACATTAGTATTATTTTGTGGGCGATCTTTTGCTGCTCTTTCTATGATCCCTTGCTGTCCTGACATTCCACATGGTAGAGCAGAAGGGGGCATGATGTAGATAAGGGCAGATCCATGATGGATTTCCTACAGATCAGATTAGCCCCACAAATATTCAGCTGATTCACCAGGAAAAGATTTGTAATCATTCTCTTGTTTACTTAGAGAAAAACAAATTATATGAAAATTAGTATTTCCTTTACTGTTAAAAGAGTTTTCCAGAGATCTCTGCCTATTAAGTTCTACCTGAACATCATTAAAACCTTTAATATTTTATATCAAACTGAAAATCATATTCTGATCCATCTGGAGTTAGTACCCTTATGGTTCCATAAATATTTTTGTGGCTAAACTGAAAGTTTAAAAACACAAAACATTATTTTACACATTATTTAAAAAACACAAAAAATTATTTGTTTCAAAAATAAAGCAAAGCATAAAAGATACTATCAAATCCAGAGCTATAAGTGAAATGTGCTGCAGCATACTCTCAAGACTACGAATTTACTCAATTAAAATTTTAATTTTCTCCTTTTCATCTTTTATATAATTCTCAAGGAACTGCAAAAAGAATCCTTAATCATCTGTTTATTGAAATCTGCCTATAATGCAACCAGAACACAGAATTAACCTATCTGTAATAGCTCCATCTCATAGCTCATGTCACATAAGAAAAAAAGAATCTATTAAATTATATATCCGAGACAGGAGTAAAACAAGTAAAATTGAAAACCTCTGAATCTTACTCATGTTCAGATATTCTCCTTTCACTTTTTCTGATTTCATGGATTTCTATGGAAGCTGTTTGGTGTCAAACATTCGGGTCACACTGATGCTAACCCTCACAAAACACCTCCAGGATGTTCACCCAGCACACAAGCACTTCTCAGGGCTCAAGGGTGGGGATATCTCAGAAACGGTACAGATGGGACAGAAGCTGGACCACAGAGCGCTGTGCAGTGAAGACTGACACTGAGTAACGTCGCCTGAATGTCAGTTTATCACTGGAAACTTAAAATTCAGGAGAGTAACAAAAATGCTTAAGACAAATGTTTTTCTGCCTTCTTTCCAAATTCAGTTAGAAAAGTTAGGGCTGTATCTCCCCTTGTCCCTCCCTCCATGAAACCCCTCAGTTGGCCAGATGAGGTTTCTCCAGGGGAGACAGAGCCAATGGGCATCCTTCCCTCTGGCCACCACAACGCTGTCTGTGACTAGCCATGTCCATGATGGAGTCTGAAAAGTCACAAGGGTGGTTACACTGTGCTCAGTTCCTTCTGAAGAAATAGATTTTTTTTTTAATCATCTATCAGACTTTCAACAAACTGTAATTCCAAAAAATTACTTAAAGGACTATGTTCTTCTGGTAATTTAACTGCCACCAACACCACAAATAAAACATTTGGTCACACATGCATAGCTCAAAACTCTCTGCTTGCCACCATCACCACCACCTTTTCTTCTGTGCTATAGCTTTACCAACAAATGACCATTAAGGGAATGGTTATATCTGTTTTTCAGATCAACATATGTTAGCCATGACAGCAGCTCACAACCCTAGCTGGACCATGAGCTATCTTTAAAGTAACCAGCTTGGCTACTTTTAGCTGGTCAGCTGTAACCGCACGGTGCTCAGGATCACCTAAATGATCCAGTGTCCTGAGCGGGTTTTGCAGCCATGGTGACACTGTCCTCAGGACCCAAACGGCGATATAACTGCTCAGACTGGATGCATGCCTTGCCTGCAGCACTCGCGCACCCACAAGCCAACATGACATATGCGAGTGCTGGAAATCACCCATTAACCCTGGCTTACCAGGCTCAGAGTCCCTAATCTGCCTCAGCAATCTGAGCTTCCAAATATAGCAGATTGGTAGAGGAGCCTTCACTGTCTCATGGGACTCCTACAACTCTTCTGCATCTCACTAAAAAAATGGAGTTGCAATGCTTTGTGATTTTGTCTTATCCCTCATTAATCTGCCTAAAGAATTCCTTCATCCAACAGTTTTCTGAAATGAATTTTATGGCAAATCTATTGCTACATATCACTTGTTGCCAGCTCTTTTTTCTCTTAACATTTTTTCCCCTGTATATCATCCAGGGATATAGTATCTTTAATTTTGACTATGGATCTCTATCTGTAAGTCTGACTCTCTTTCATTACTTTTCTGGGATTGACCTTACTTTTCCAAAATGTCTTTTCCCCAGTTCAGCTGCCATTTCTCAATAGTATTTTTCTATTGCTACAAATTCCTAGGCTTCAGGAACACTGGTTTGCATCTCAGGCACAAAGGCTAAGTTTCCATAAGAAAGTGTCTCCCAAAACCAACCAACAACACTCTACATAGTATTAGCCAAAAAAAAAAACCCCAAAAAAAAACAAAAACAATTTTCTAAGTGGAAAATTGATGTCATTCCAAGAAGTTGAATCCATGTATAGATGCATAGTATTCAGTGTTAAATTTAAAGTGAGCAGTTAACAGTAATCTGGAGAACAAGAACAGGCAAATGTGTTTGTTTTACTTTTGCTGAATTTTGCCTTATTCTTCTAGGAGAATTACTTAAATCACAGCTGTGCTGCTAAGAAAAGCTGCTACGAGGAACTCTCTGATGTTGACGCGTTCTCTTCAGAGAACACTGTGCACCAGCAAAAAAGGCATCTTTCATTCACTCATGAAACGTCAGCACTCATGAAACGTCTGCTTGAGAGAGCAGAGATGCACTGTGTTGGGCATGGGGAAGGGGGAGGAGAAAACAACGGGATTTGTGCAGTGTGCTGGTGTTAGAAAGCACGGATATTGGCTGGGAGAGGAAGGCTGCCCATCTCCCACTTGTAGACCTCTTATTACCACTCTTTACCTGGATGGGAGCTGCTTCTGCCCCTTTCCACTTCATCAGAATTGATGGGGAAAGGGTGCAATTTCTTACAGCCAACTCCTGGTGCACCAAAAACCTGATCCTAGAAGAGAGCAGTAGTGATAAACATTTCCCATCTCTGTTAGGAAATTTAATGTAATATAGCAAAATGTAATATAATAGCAAGAGTCTCTTGCAATCTAACAGCTTGCTCTGGTCACATTGCCCTTCAAGACATTGTAGAGACAAAAAAAAAGATTAAGAAAAAAAGAAAAAAACCCTACCATCCTACCTCCATATTACTAAACAACAGTTCCTGGGAGGATTGTCATTTATTCCTTCCCTGAATTTGCACCGCTTGTTCCAGTGATACTTTTGCTAGCTTAACCGGATTAACTGCACACAATGCTATTAAAAGATATTGTTTGCCAAAAAGGGCATCCATAATCTGTAGAGACCCGTGTGCTATCTATATTTGTATGTGCAATAGGGATTAGCTGTGCACAAAAAAGAAAAAAAAAAAAGAGAGAGAGACACACACAAAGAAAAAGCCTCTTTAAGGAAAGAATGGAGTCAGGAGGAGCCAACTGGACATCAGAGACACGAGTCTCTGCACACTGGACCAGAGCAGCTCCTGCAACTGTGTTTCCCATGTCTGGTCTCCTTAGCACTGTGGTCAGAGCTTTCAACACGATGGGATTGGACTACCCCTGTGCTTTCGAGGTCGCTTGCCACTCACTTCTAATGCTTGGGCTCTCTCATTAGTTTCAGGCTTCTAGTCCACCCTCTTCCTTTATTGCACTCATTATTTCTCATTATATCCTCTGGCATCTGTAAATGCTGCTGCTATCATCCAGAGCCCAGGAGTGAGCTGCACCGATTTGCCAGCAGTGCTCTGCCACACCATCCATCCAAGCTTACTGCCCAGCTGTAAGCTTCCCCTGAGCACGAGCACATTTCTCTTCAATATCCTTTGAAATTACTTATAGTAGTGCCTTTCAGCTGTAAACTTGAGCTGAGCTTTGCCTTATTTCCATCTAAGTCCCAAAATTGTTAAAGGTTTTTTTTGCGTATTCTTTCACATTTTTCTTTTCTGACTCCCAATTTCCTTATGCCATTTTGGCCGTGAGAAACCCAAATCTAATTGCATTGCTTAGAACCCTACAGGGCAGATGCAGATATCCAGACTTTCTGAAAATCATCTACTTGCATATCGAGCCTCATTCGAAGACCAGGTTTCACAACCACCAGAAGCTTAAGTTCAATGCTGCCAGAGCCATCTGCAAATTAAAGATGAACCAAAGAGATTTTACTGAGAAATACTAATATGTGTGGGGAATCAAAATAAATGACATTTCAGGTAAGTTTTCTTTATATACCCATCTCAAGAATAACTTTGAGGATACCAATCCAGATGTGTTAAAGTGAATGGCTAATCCTAGCCTAGCAAAAAGTGTGTTCTGTGGTGGGGACCTCTCTGCAGAATGATAGTGTAAGTTGAGAG